GAAAAATATAGAGGAAGGAAGAGAGGAAACAGAATGAGGGGGAGGAGCAGTTCAGAGTCAGGTGTTCTCTCAAGACATTAACACTGGAAGAAAGAGAAAGGGAAGAAAAGAGGAGAGGTTATGTAGAGAAATGATAAATACAACGGAAAAACAGTCAGAGGAGGACAGACAGCAATTGTATGCAGACTATTGTATTCAAAGAAAAGAGGACACTGACGTTAAAGGAGGACAAACAGTGACATACTGATGAAATAAAACATTTTAAAAACTTGTGATTCTCTGTTTAGACCTTTTAAACCCTAATTATTGTTCTGGTACTGGTAGTCACTGTCTGAACTGTTCATTGTGTTCAATTTTATTCAGCTTTATATTGCAATAAAAGAGACGAGGGCTAGTCAGGAGGCTTGATGGTGTGGTAACCACTTGCAAAGGTAGCTGTTGAGCTACTGAAGCCCAGGAAGACTAGCAACCATTTTCTGGAAGCTAATGTGAAGTCAGGAAACAAAGAAATGTTGTGGCTGCTGAGCTAGCAGGTAACATACTACCACTTAGCAGCTGCACATAAGAATAACATTTCTAACTGCCACTGAGTAAGCTAGCTAGCTTAGTCACTTCAGGTAGCATTGTTACCAGTTTATTCAAGACTATATTTGTTCCATAACTGTCTATATCTACATTAATTAAAGTTGGTGTAGGGATGTCACAGTGTTAGAGAGAGCTTGTAATGGACTGTTTATCTTGGTTGGTATTTACGTTTCACCACAGGCTTGTGTTAAGAACGCATTGCAGCTCCTAGCAGATAATTCACATAGAACAGAAACATCAAGGTTCCCTGCTCATTATTTTAGGGGATTTTGACACAGCAAATCTCACCCACAACCTATCCAAATACAGACAACATGTTAGTTGTCCCACCAGGGACAAAAAACACACTGGACCACTGATACAACTGTAATTAGGGAGGCCTATCACTCTGTAGCCCTCAGGCTCTCCGATCACTGCATTATCCATCTCATCCCTACCTATAGACAGAAACTTAAATCTGCAAAGCCTGTGGTCAAAACAGTGAGGAGATGGACCAAGTAGGCATGTATTACCTGTGCCAGCTCAGTAAGTTCAACCTGCCTCAGGAGCTGCTGATACAGTTCTACAGAAGAATCATCTAGTCTGTTCTCTGCTCATCAATCACTGTCTGGTTTGGTTCAGAAACCAAACAGGACAGGAACAGACTCCAAGGAACAGCCAGGACTGCAGAAAAGATCATCCGTGCCAGCCTGCTCTCCATGGAGGACCTGTACACCTCACGGATCAAGAGAAGGGCAGAGAAGACCTGTGCCCCTCAACACTTCACAGAGGCAAAGTAAACCTGACGTATGCTTGAAGCCAACATACCCTGGTCACAAACTTGTTGAACTCCTCCCCTCTTGATGGTGCTACAGGTCACTGTACTCCAAAACAACCAGGCACAAGGACCGTTTCTTCCCCCATGTCATCACCCTGATGAACAGTTAACCCATGCTTATATGTATAACAAGATACAGCAGACACCAAAGTACAATAACTTATAGATGTAACCACTGCGCATACCAAATAGCTGCTCACTTTTAACTTGTATATATGTGCATATTTACCAATAGATCATCGTCTGTCTTCTTGTTTTTTTACCTGTTATTCTGTTTTATTTGGTGCACATCGGGGTCCATTGACCTGGAGTCAAAATCCTTGTACTGTAACATACTTAGCAATAAAGTTTATGATTGACTGATCTGTCATATGGAGCAGTTTATACTTCAGCATAGCAGGATTTTGGTGTCAATTCTGTGATGAACACTGGTCTGAGAGGGCCACAAAGCAGGATTATGAAGTGAACAAACAACACACATTGATGTGTGTAGTCAGGATCTTTTCATTTGCTTCATTTACTATTTAATATTTGTCGTTGCCTTTTTCTCCATAGATCACACTACACTATTTCTCTCATTTTTGCCTAGGATGCGCACTATCCTGAATAAGATTCAAAAACTTTCACATGACAGATGCAATCAAGTTAATTAGCTAAGCATAAAAAAATAGGATACAAACATTTTTGTTTTTATATAACCATCTGCTAAAATACATTATTGTGAATCAAATGTGGACACTGTCCTGCTGCCTTAAGCTCACTGGTACACAAATGTGTTCATCCATAGTTCATTACCCCCGTTTTTGCAAAAGCAAGTTACAACTTGCAAATAACAACTACAGAGCCCCACTGTTCTAAAAATGTTATATGGGTTTGGGACTGAACGCAATCGAAAGAATAAGTAAACCCATCTGTTATTGTAAACAGGTAGGACACTAGAGTACTTCGGTACCAAAACTCTGAACAGCACAGCTGATATGGTTTGACACTCCACCGTGCAGCACCCCACGTCTATTCTAGCAAACTGTTTCTAAGATACCAAGTGTGAACAAGCAGAATGTGCCAGCTAATTTGGAACAAAAACAGCTCAAAGATCTTTAAGGATTTCTTTATATTTCCATGTGCGATGGCAGGCTGGTGTGTGTTCATGTTTGTGTGTGGGCGGTAAAATCTGGGTGTAGGGCTAATAGGGGCTCATTAAAGAGGTTGCATTGTTAATTTGGTATGGCCCCTGTAGATCATTACCTAGCTCACTAATCACCATGACAACACACACACACACAGAGCTGATTTGGACCCATCAGATACAATCTAATTACTTTAGTGTCTAATTGATTAGTAATGGAGGGAGGTGGAAGGAGGGAGGGAGGGACAGGCGCACAGGTAAAGAAGAGGTTCAGTGTGAATATAATGACTGGGGTGGCTGGTAGGGAGTCGTCACTAGGAGTCAAAGGCCACTACACAGCCACAACAACATGGCTGACCTAGCAATAACAGCGCTGTCAACACCATGTTCTGTTATAGTGTCATTAAACAGACACATAAATGTAGACACACACATAAACACAAAGACGTTCACATATTAATCTATTTGAGTGATAGTGAGAGGCTTCAATATGGCTGACAGAGCAGCACTGTAACAGTTTTACTGTTTCCTGTTGCCTGGAGCTTTTCATATGTCCACTGATAATTATATTAACAGCATTCAAATTCCATATAATATTCAGAAAACCATGTTATGTAGCTGATATAGCAATAAAATGAGCAGGCAGATGGTTAATGACCTGAACATTTGACCCCTAGCGTACAGTGCTACCTAGAGGCTAGATATAATCCGTATAAGACTACAACCATTCATGTATAGCTGGTGACATCTGTGTGTGAAGGTATGGATGTGCTGACAGGACAATATTCATCAGACACACACACTGAGCTAACAGAAATGTCTCCATTAAAAGGCCGTGCTACATTACAGCATATACCTGTAAGACAGAACCCAGCACGTGAAACTAAGCTTGTTCACTAACTCACTCAGTGTGGACTAGAGGCATTTCTGGTATTTCCATAGGTTTGGACCTATCACAGCAAAGGCTCTGTCCCCCCTAGTTTTCCGCCTGGCCCTTGGTGCCTCCAGAAGAAGCTGATCTGCTGATCTGAGGCACCGCGATGGATTATACGGATGCAAAAGTTCCACCAGATAAGAAGGTGCAAAACTTACTTTGCAAGTCACTAACAACATCTTTCCTTCACTGTAACAACTTGAGAGGATAAACACATAGGGACGGACAGACAAGCCAAACACAGAATGTCTCCAGCCATGGCTATTGCCAGCTTGGGGGCATAATAAATTTAGAATTTTCACACATCATTACAGATCAAAGGCTTTTTCCTCCTGGGATTTTGAATAAAGAGCTCTCCTAACTCGTACAGCCTGACTTCACACTAGTTTGTGGAATAAAGCCTAATGTTAGTTCTGCAATGTCATGTCTAAACATTGACACTGCATTAAAACATGTCAGAAAATAAGGGCATACACCTGTTCTTTCTCAGAAGCAGTGTATGTCAGTGTAGTTAAAATTATTTATAACATATTTAGGCAGCATCAACTAACATGCTACCTAGGCTAGTGTAACTTTGCTAACAGAGATAAGGTGTACTGAATAGCTTAGCTGTCTTTACTTGTAAAATAGGCTACATTCTGCTATCTCTAGTTTTATCATTCACAAGTATTACACCCCATCAGAGTTATAGCTTACTTCATGTATTCTTTGTGGAGGCTAACTGTATCGATGGCTGTTTGATTAGCTTGGCAATGCTGCCAATCACACAAACATTCAACCAAACACTGATTGCTGATTTACAGGTCATTCCTTTTGCCAGTTTAAGTTTCATTTTGACATCAAGTCACCTTTCTGTTATTTTTCAGAGTTTGTAACTAAGTGTCGGTTTTGCATTCTTTGATATGTTGTCATCCATTTGGCTTTGTCACTCCGCAAAAATACTTAGGTGCTGCACCTAAGCCTTTCTTTGGCAGGGAAAACCCTGGTGATCTGCAACTCTCTCTGTGTCACGGAGCTCATTTTCAACTCATTCTTTAATGTTTGGACCAAAACTTTACCGTTTGCTCTCACTCATCAGTTACTGCGGGTTTAAGCACCCTGCCAAGTACTGTAATAACGAACGGCAGTGTAACAACGCAAGACAAACATGCAAGGTAACGTAAAATGTATTGTGTCTCATTAGATTTAGTTCAGGTTTAGCACTGGTGAACTGACCAGAATGACCAGACCTTATCTGGACAAAGGCCAAATATTAAACCACATGTTAGGCTGACTGTGGAGTGGATTTCCCTGTGGGACATTCTCTGTACACGCAGTCTTTAACCATGGTTGTATAAATAAACCCATTTAAGAAGCACTTTGCCTGCACTTAACATCTGCTGAACGTTGGCTCTTTGAAGTGTGTGTGTGTTTGTTTGTGGAGTATGTTTGTGAATCTTACCAGTTTAGGGCGGCAGCAGGCCTTCTTTTGTAGCTTAACTGTACTATTTATGCACGTGTCTGTAGTTGAGGTAATGGTAAGGTGTAGCGGAACTCACCGTACTCAGCTCGTAGATGCTCTGGAATGTGCGGCTCATAGCCCTCTTTCTCTGGAACTTCTTCAAAATCATCATCATTTTCCTCCTCCTCCTCCTCCTCCTCCTCTCTGTTTGAAGAAGCCTTCATCTGTGAAAAAGGAGGTAAGGTTGTAGCTTTTAGAAAAACATTAATTATAAATATGGAAAAATATGGAGTACAGCCAAAGTTAAAGAAGCACTATGTGGGTCTCATTTTTGCACAAAATATTCTATTTGATTCTTAATAATGTATTATTAATAATGTAAAATGAAACCTCTAGTTCTATGAAACATAACAAGAGGTTTAACTTTACATTATTAATAATACATTATTAAGAATCAAATAGAATATTTTGTGCAAAAACGAGACCCACATAGTGCTTGTTAGGAGGGGTATTCACTCTTGGTTTGGGTCTTCTCATGGGACTTGTAGACATTAAGAAAAAGTTTATAATATTACTTGTCTTATCTTTTAAGCACAAATGCACACATTTAACTGTTTCAAAAGTGAGCCTCACAACCAACTCACTGATTTGAACCAAACAAGTGTCAGTGATACGTAGAACGTTAATCATACTACACGCATTGAGATGGCAAGCAGTTGCATACAGTTGCTCTTTCATTCCTTCACCCTAATTGTCTCAGGATTGTGTGTCTTTTTTGGCTTGAGGGAGTCAATGATAGTGTGTGTGTGTGCGATGAGCTGCTATCAGTGCTAAGCAGAATTTATGGTTTTTAATTTCCTGTTGAGCTTGTTAGCCATTGGCTGGGCTACAATGCAGAACACAAAACTCCTATACACACAGGGGTCATTTCCATAACACAAATGTGAGTGTGTGTGGCAGCTGCTATGCCCATAACAGCTGAGGACACAGACACACACACAGACATACACTCCAGGAGCATAATAATCACAGTGATTAGTGTTATGAGGAGCAGTAAAACCTAACATTAAACTAACCTTTTATTATCAAAGGCTTCTTTTTCATTAGTGTGTAATAACGGTGTATGTATGTGTGTGTGTGTGTTTCATTAGTGTGTAATAACGGTGTATGTGTGTGTGCGCGCAATAGAAAGCTGCTGTGTTACTGTTGATAAAGCTCATTAAAATGTTAGAATTTGTTTACAAATGATGAGTCCTTAGATGATTATTAAAACACCCCCACACACAACTATAGGACCACAGGATAGAGACCATAAACCACAGCATGACTCTGTATGCACCTCTTGATCCAGCACGAAGAGACCAATTAAAACACTTCATATAACAATACTCACTATTCTGTTAACCACCAACTAAACAATTAAACCCTAATTAGTTCTCAGTAATGAGACTACAAAAACAATGTGGGTGGTCTAAAAGGAAGAGAAATTAGGCCTCGTTCATCACATTTACAAATGAAGAGATTTGATATTTAGATTTCAGTACACGTGTGTGAAACTCTTTAACGTGCCTTGATATTAAAAAAGCTCATTGTTGGTGTCTGCCTGGTGTCACAGAAAATAGACAGCCTGATAGGCATACTCAGTCATACTCGGAGCAGAACATTAATGTTGTTGGTACCTGCTGGACAGGTTTTACCTTTCCTGTTTGGTGGTCGGGTTCTGTGTCACTGAAGCAAGTATCCTCCCAGACCACTGGGGGCACTACTGAACAAATAGCAGGAATACAATGATTTGCTCTTACAGTAATATTTGTTAAGCCATCCATTTTCTGTTCTTGATTTTATATATTCTGTGTAGGGCCCTGCCCAGCAAGTGCCCTTCAACACTTCATAGAGGCAAAGTAAACTGGTGGTATACTTGACGCTAACGCACCTAGATAGTCAACAAAAAGATAATCAGGGACTGTTTTGATAACTGATTAACAGTTTCAGTTATTGTCCAAGCAAAAAGGCCAAATGGTCACGAGTTCCAACTCAAACATGACATCTGAAATATCTGACGTCTTGTGGAATAAAATTTTTAAAAAAAAATCTATTAAATCGAGAAAGTTATCAGCTGGTTAATAGAAGTGAAGCTGCTGGTCAGCTGCAGACATACTTGCAACTAATTTGACAGCATCCAAAAGAAAAAATGTTTATATCTGCTCCGAATAGCCAGGCTCAAAAGTTAGACTAAAGGCTGCCATCACAGGAAGGCTCCACACTCAATGAATCATACCAATGGGGATAACAGCACACACTTCCAGGTCACTGCTCCTTAGAGGAATTCATGGAGTTGCGCTCAGCTGTACAGATGAAAAGCAACACAAGAGATTGTGTGCAGGAATGAAAAAGGCGAGCCTCAGCCTCAGCCAACTGCTGGTGTGAAACGGGCTTGGTTGCCAGATTGTCTGTTTGGAAAATAGTACTATGTGACAACTCTGTGTGACAAATATGTTTATGTTGCCATTTCAAATGTTGCTTCTAATGTTATGTGCCACCTTAACATTGTGTTTCAAATGGGTGAACTCCATCTGAACATAATTATCTGATACAATCTAAAGCTTCAAACAGATACTAAATGGACCTTGTTATTGGATTCTTTTATGAATGTGATTCTTGTGTGCATGTCTTTACATGTAAATGCATTTCTTTCTTTTCATAGCACTAGGCAATGGAAATTGCATTAGCCAATGTAAACATCAGGATCATAAAATGAAACAAAATGACATGAAATATGTGGAAATGAAAGTGGAGATAATTTAAGGTGGCGAGGTAAACTTCTCCTGACTCAGTTATAACAGAGCTCGTATTACTACAAATGATCATTTTAATCTAGGAAAGGAGGCTGTAGAGAGTGATCACAAGATGTGAGATACTGAGACTGGATCTTACTTATTTCTTAGAGAAAAGCTGACAAAATGCTGTTAAACAGAAGACTAACATTTTAAATGCCAAACCAAACTTTCTCCATTATTCCATCCCACTGCTACACTTTTTCATGACCACTGCACAGCAGATTCACACACACCACACGTACACACAGATATAGTTTCTATACATTTTGTGCTTGTCTGCTTTAATCCTGCCTGGTTTGTTCTGCTCTGATCAATGACCTAAAACTAAGAAGTGATCACCCAGCCAGAGGAAAATCCTGCACTAACATCATCCCTTTTCCCCCTCTTTCTGCCTCTTTGTCTCTAATTCACCTTAATTTAATCCTGATAGCATCGGGTGCTGTCGGCCGGCCTGGCAGAGCTGTAAGTCTCACAGTAGAATTAGCTTTCTTCCAAAAACATTTTGCTGACGGGAGCACAGCTAAAATATGGCCTCTATACCCCACATGGCTGCATGGGGTGCTGCTTTGCATCTTAACAGAGCTTTGGTTTATTTTCCAGGACACACATGAGGAGAAAATCACACAGTAATGCAGAGTTCCCTGGATAAGATAAAAACTGCTTCTTTAACTGAAACTCAAGATTTACCAGACAAATTAGAAGGGATGGTTTAAGTAAAGCAGGGCCATGTGTCACTGTAATAGGAAAAAGACAAAACAAATATTGGAAACTTTAACATTAAAAACAGGCCCAGATAGAAATAAAAAGAGTTCCTGAACCAAGCAGAATAAATAAAAAGTTGTTTAAGTAACACAGGGCTATGTGTTACTGTAATGGCAATGTTTACTCAAAGATAAACTATATGAGCTTCCTAAAGAGAAAACAGGAAGGAAAGAATAATAAGCCATTCTTTAACAACCAAATAAAGCAGAGATCTGTTAGAAGTGGTTGCTGAAGTCAGGGCCATACATTACTAGGGTAACAATACCACTTCAGTGGGTGGTGCAGCAACTACCATCAAAAACTCATCAGAACCACCGACATGGCATTGAGCTAAGGCTGCAACTAATATTTGCATTTTCTTTGTAAATTATATTTCTGATAAAGCAATTGGTAGTTATGCATGGAAAATGTGAAAAATGCCAGTTTTTCAGAGCCCAAGGTGACATCTTTAAGTAGCCTGCTTTGTCCACTTTAACAGTATAAAACCCAGTGATACTGAGTTTACAGCTTGAACCAATGATGAAGAATCCTTTTAAAAAATTCCTGGATTTTGGATGATGATCCAGATCAGCACTGAAATCTGTGGGACATGCCCTAACTCTCTAAAACAGCTCATCAAAATCTATTCATTACGTCTTGAATTATGCTGTTAACATACAACAAATACTGCCAAAATTATTTGTGTATTTGCTTGTTTAAACCACCCCCCACACCTAATGATTTTTTTTTCTCTTCCCCCTCCCCTTCATACACACACACACACACACACACACACATACACACGTAGACAAAACTGTTGGTTCCCTTCCGTTAAAGAAAGAGAAACTCACAATGGTCACTGAAATAACGTGACTGACAAAACTGACAAAAGTAGTAATAAATAAAAATTTACTGAAAATTAACTAATGAAAACCAGACATTGCTTTTGAATTGTGGTTCAACAGAAGCATTTTAAAAAACTAACTAATAAAACTGGCCTGGACAAAAATGAAGGTACCCTTAACTTAATATTTTGTTGCATAACCTTTTGAGGCAATCACTGCAATCAAGCGATTTCTGTGACTCCCAATGAGACTTCTGCACCTGTCGACAGGTATTTTGGCCCACTCCTCGTGAGCAAACTGCTCCAGCTGTCTCAGGTTTGAAGGATGTTAGGAGTTGGAATACCACTAAACTCACCCTGCTGAATGTGTTGTTTCTTTCCCGATATTCAACAGCAGGCCTTAAATCTTAGCAGTGTCAAAGTCTTTGGTAACATTTCTGTGAATGTAACCTGCCCACAAATGGAGCAGAACCTCCTCATTATCAGGTGGCATTCATCAGGATGAAAATGAGCGATTTACAACAGTTCTGTGCAGTTAAGACAGTTTGGTGAATCCGACCTGGGAAACATGTACAAACAAAACATGGAGCACAATGAAAGTTGTAGGATGAGAATAAGAAAATGTTGAAACCCACTGCCTCTGTACACCAAGCCAGCTCCTAAATGAAACGGTTTTCACAATTTAGTGTGGAAGAACCAACATCTTTGGGATAAACTGCAACATCAACAATGAGCCAGGTCTTGCTACCCAGACATCGGCGCTGGAGTTCACTGGTGCTCTTCAGAGAGATCATGAGGTTTA